AAGCAGCCGTCGGACCCTAAAATGTCCGACAAAAAAGAAAGTCGGTCTGCTCAGCCAGTTAAAAAAGAAGAGAGCAAGAAAAGAAAGGAAGTCTGGGTGGCGGAATATTCTGGTCAGCCATCCCAGAAGAAAAGGAAAGAGTTGAAACCGTACGTCCCCAAGTATGAGTTCAACAAGGACTGCTACTCCATCCTCATGGAGATCAAAGACCGGATGACTATTGAGAAATCGGCTGCAATGAAAGGTTCCGCCCAAAAGTCAGAACAAAAACAAATACTGTCATTTCCATGAGTTGGAACAAAAACAAATACTGCCATTTCCATGAGGATATAGGCCATGACACCAACGATTGCTATAGCCTCAAGCGATTGTTGGACCATCTGGCTGACAAAGGGGTACTTAAGTCCTATATCCTGAAGTCCAGGTTGACCCCCAAGGCAAACAGTGGGCAGCCGTCAAAAAAAGCAGACTAGCTTGCTATCAGCTCAGACACTGATGAAGAGCAAATCTACACTATAGCAAGCGGTTTTGCTGGAGGGTGTCCTACTATTTGGGGCACCAAGGACTATATTAGAAGGCTAAAGGTCAACTCTGTTGATGAGGGCCAGGCGTCGAAAGACACCTTCTCTGAGGCCATCATCTCTGAGAAGGACCGTGGTAAGGTCAAGCGGCCACATGATGACCCCATAGTCATCGAGTAAAAGGTTGCCAACCAACGAGTAGGCCGGATCCTCATTGATACCGGGAGCTTGTCTGACCTTATCAGCAATCGGTGCTTGGCGAAGCTCAAGTACTAGCCTAGCAGCATGCACAAAGTCCCACACCCTTTAGTCGACTTTGGGAGAGGAGTAGTGCATCTGGTGGGAAGGATTGACCTACCCATCCGGCTGGGGGAGAAGGGGGAAGGACGCCATATGGTCGTCAAATTCCTGGTGGTTAAAGAATTGACCGCCTATCTGATTTTGGGCCGTCCAACCCTCAACGAGTCCAAGGCAATCATTATCCCATCCCTCATGCTGCTGAACTTTGAGAGGGATGATGGGTCGGTGGGTTCCCTTAATGGGGATCAGAAGACGGCAAGGGAGCGTTATCTCTCAGACGTCAAGCCTACTGTGGCCGCAGCCGGCCAAGGCGAAGAACCCATTGACCTTGATGACTTCAAGGAAGCCGTGCCTGCTCCTAAGGCAGCCGGCAAAAAGAGGAAGGAGAACCATTGGATGACCTTCAAAAAAGAGAAGCAATAGCAATCACTGATCGGGAAACAGTCAGATGATCTCCGTCCCCAGCTGGCTGGTCAACATATTGACATCGCTCTAGACGACACTCGTCCGGAGCGAACTGTTAAGGTTGGGGCGGCTGCTTTTGCAAAGTTGGGTGTAGACTTGCACCAACTTCTGAAAGAATTAAAAGACATTTTTGCCTTTGAATTGGAAGAGATGTCAGGCGTCAGCCCGGATCTTGCCGTCCACAAACTCGCCGTGGATCCAAAAAAGAAGCCGGTTAGGCAAAAGAAAAGAAACCACGACGAGGAGATATTCCAAGCGGTGCCGCCGAGGTCAAGAAGCTCATGGATGCTGGGTTCATTCAACAATGCTACTACCCGGATTGGGTAGCCAATGTTGTTCTGGTTAAAAAGCTGAATGGAACCTGGTGCATGTATGTTGATTACACAGACGTAAACAAGGCATGTCCGAAGGATAGTTATCCACTTCCAAAGATTGACAGTTTGGTCGACTCTACAGCCGGCCATGCCTTGATGAGCTTCATAGACGCCTACTCAGGTTTCCATCAGATACCCTTGTGGAAAAAAGAACAAGAAAAGACGGCCTTTGTCACTAATCAAGGGTTATTCTGTTATACGGTGATGCCGTTTGGCTTGAAAAATGCGCCTGCTACTTTCCAACCAATGATTAATACAGTCTTCATTAATCAAATTGGGAGGAATGTAGAGGCGTACATTGATGACATGATAGTCAAATCCAAGTTAAAGACGGACCACCTTGCTGACCTCCGAGAAACATTCACCACCCTCAGGCGACACAAGGTCATGCTTAATCCCAAGAAGTGTGTATTTGGTGTTGAGTCTGGGAAGTTTCTCGGATTTTTGATTGATCAAAGGGGGATAGAGGCTAATCCAGAGAAGGTACAGGCGGTAATTGATATGAAGTCACCCCGCACTGTCAAAAAAGTTCAAAAATTAACCGGTTGTCTGGCGGCGTTGGGGAGATTCCTCAGTCGGTCAGGTGACAAATGCCTCTATTTCTTTCACGCAATCAAAAATAAGAGTAGATTTGAATGGGGGGAGGATGCTGAGGCGGCATTTCAAAAATAAAAAGAGCAATTGTATTAATTGCCAAGGCTGGTTAGTCCTCTAACAGAGGAGGTGCTTTATATGTACTTGGCCGTCTCGGATCATGCCCTCAGTGTCGTTTTCCTAGCTGAAAGAGACGGCATTCAGCTCCCGGTCTATTTCATTAGCTATGTTCTTCGAAATGCTGAACTCCAGTACCCCATGGTTGAAAATTTTGGCCTTTCTCTATTCATGGCAATTAAGAAGTTGAAACCCTACTTCTTGGCGTACCCGGTTATTGTCTATACAGACCAAACGCTCAAGCGGCCTATGACAACCTTGAAGTCATCCGGTAGAATGCTCAAATTGGCTATTGAAATGAAAGCCTTGAAATCACTTTCGAGCCTAAGAAGGCAGTGAAGGGTCAGGCGTTCGCCGACTTCATTGTCGAAATGACAAGGCCGGCTGAGCCGGAAAATCTTGATCAGGTTTGGAAAGTGTACGTAGATGGGAGCTCTACTATGAACGACCGTGGTGTAGGGATAATATGCTAGTCTCTAGAAGGGGACAAATATGAATATGAACTACGGTTCAAGTTCCAAGCCTCAAATAACGAGGCTGAATATGAGGCCCTGCTAGCCGGTATTCGCATGTGTAAGGCAGCAGGGGCAAGAAAAGTTGACGCCTGTTCTGATTCACAACTGATTGTTAGCCAATACCATGGTGACTATGAGGCCACCCATCCGGATATGATCAAATACCTTCAGGCGGTCAAAGAAGAAGCCAGGACACTTGACGAATTCCATCTAAGTCAGGTGCCCAGGTCAGAAACCAACCAGGCGAATGCGCTCTCTAATCTGGCATCATCCGCCTCCTGTGATACGCCTAGGTCAGTCTTTTGGGAAGTCATGGAAAAAAGAAGTATTGAACATGACCCCATTGGAGTTCTTGACCGAAGCTCGACCTGGATGGATGGCATCCGGGCTTACTTGGCAGACGACACTTTGTCGGATGCCCATTCAGAAGCGGCTGCAATGAAAAAACGGGCCGCAAGTTTTGAAATCCATAATGGGGAACTCTTCAAGAAGGGTTACCTCCAACCGTTACTGAAATGTGTTACCCTAGAAAAGGGGAAAGAGGTTTTAGAGGATCTACACTCGGGCTTTTGTGTATTGCACATAGGCGGCAGAACTCTACCCAAGAGGGCCAGGCGGGAAGGCTACTTTTGGCCCACTCTTGAGGCAGACGCCATGGATATGGTGAAGAAGTGTGATAAGTTTCAAAAATTCGGCAAACTCATACACCGTCCGGCTACTGATTTGACAGCTATATACAACCCAGTACCATTTGCCAAATGGGGCATGGACAATCTAGGTCCATATACCCTTACTACAGGCGGACGGAGGTAAATTTTAGTTGCCATTGATTACTTCACCAAATGGGTAGAAGTAGAGGCGGTCAAGGGCATAAAGACAAAGGATGTTATCTCCTTCATTTGGAGGAACATCATCACCCGGTTTGGGGTACCTATGTCTATGGTCTTTGACAATGGTCCTCAATTTGAAAAGCCTACCCTCAAGAGCTGGTTGGGAGACCAAGGGATCTCACATTGTTTTGCATCAGTCGGCCGCCCCCAAGCAAACGGCCAAGTTGAAGCGTTCAACAAGCTCATCTCATACAGCATCAAAAAGAAAATTGAAAGGGTTGGCGGTCTATGGGCAGATGAGTTGCCTCATGTCCTATGGGCCATCTGAACAACTGAAAAAGGGGCAACTGGTGAAACCCCGTTTCTCATGACCTACGGACTGAAGTCGTCCTGCCTATCGAGCATTATGAGCCAACTTTTCGAGTCATACTCTATGACGAAGAGGCTAATTGGGCGGCCATGCGGTTAGTATTGGACTCACTTCCAGAGCGCAGGGGCAATGCCGCCTTGCGTCATGAGATTTACCGTCTGAGAATGACTAGAGCCTACAACAAAAGATTACACAAACGACCCTTAAAAGTGGGGGACTTTGTGTTACGGAAAATGGAGGCAACTGGTAGGGCTAATGAGCAAGGAAAACTGACTTCCAATTGAGAAGGCCCCTACCGGATTTATGAAGAAGTCAGAGACGGCACCTACCACCTGGAAACCCCAGACGGCAAGTAGCTAGCCAGAACTTGGAATGTAGACAACTTGAAAAAGTACTACTTCTAAGACTTGTAAATTTTTGTAAATAGAGTATAATAATGAAAAGATGCTTTATTATCACATATTTATTGTTTTTCCGTACAACTCCCGTCTGTGTAATACACACGGGCACATTAAATTTTACGTCTGCTGCAACATGAGTAGATATAAGCTAAGTCCTAAAACTTAGCAGCTATTTTCGAGGCCAGTGGCCGGATAACCTTCAAACCGCTGACTGCTCTAACATGAGCACGCAACCGGCGACGCCCATTCGGTGAATTCGACGAAGAGAACATCTCCCATTTGGGTGGTACATTGTTCTATAAATTATAACACAAACGGCTTTAACCGTCTGTCTAGATTAAAGATAGCTCACAGCCGTTTGAATAATCATTTGAGACCTAGATACAACCGATCTTGCTCCAAGGCAATACAAACGGTAATAATTAGTATCTTGGTTGGATATAACCGATCATTGTTCAAAAGCAATACAGACGGTTGTAATTGAAGAGTTAAGCTAGGTCAACTTAGCAGCTAAAGCATAACCTGGTTATGACACCAACACATGGCCAATGGCCGCGTGCTTCTATGCAACCGGCAAAGACTGATTACCCTAAGGGCTTATTCACAACCGGTTAATCGTGTAATCTAGGTTAGAGCCTAGCCAAGACCGTCTGCTATTCCAACTAAGAAATTACTTTGGAAAAATTTCTAAGGAAGCGATCAACGACCGGCTAACATTATGGTCGGATGCTTGTTGGACGACTGCCTGCTTGGAGTTCGACAATTACTAAGCAAACACCTGTCCAGGGGCAAACCGCATGTATATGATCAACATTCAAAAATTCATGCACATCCAAAATATCGCAAAAGTTAAAAAAATTGGAGCAAAATATATCAAAGGCAAATATAAGTAAAACCGACTCAGTCGACAAATTCTATTAAAAATTGGCAAAAAGCCAAGAGTAATTGTCACCCGAAAATACGTCCGGGAGGAAGAGAGTACATCTAAAATACTCAGCACGCAGGCCGAAAATACAAGTTAAGTTCACTGCTGCTGAGGAGGGGGAGACGTCTGGCCCTGGCCAGATGGAGGAGCTTGAGTAGCATCAACCGGCGCTTGTTCTTCCGGCTCCTCCTGCTCTTCATCTGAGGCTGCAATGCCAGCCCATTCTTCGAAGGGAACCGGATTTTCAAGGTTGAGAGGCTGAGCATCATACTCCTCGGTGGCAACTTGTACCTCAGCTCAAAGAACTCTCATTCATAGTCCGGGTGGACAAGGGACCAGGCCATCTTCATGCGAGCCTTGCAGTCTTGCTCGTTTTTCAGCGATCAGCCGCTCCTGCTTCGCCGCCAGCTCAGCCTTGTGGTCGGCCTGCGTCTGGGCCAATTCGGTCCTCAGTCTAGAAACATCTTCCCTCAGCTCGGTGTTCTCTTTGTTCGAACCCTCCAGTGCCTTGAGATCGAACTGGAGGTTCTTAACTTGCAGCTCGAGGTCAGACGCCTTTTGGTTCGCCGTCTCCATAGCCATAGTGAGCTCCTTGATAAGCTCATCCTGTTTCATCACCCGGCTTTTAGTTTTAATTTCATACATAAGTTTGTTGTATTGAGCAACATCTATGTATCATCCGCCCGTCTATTGGCGTCCCTTACCTCCTCTTGCTTTTTCCTCAAGGGAACCTTGAGTCCATCTATCCTCAACATCACCTGCAAGATCAACCGGCAAAGTGTTAGTCTCTCACTTATAGCACAACCGACAAAAAGATACAATGTTATCATGAACGCCAGCCGATGGATAGCTAACTTGGCTTCAATATCCCAACTGGTGAATTGCCTCAGTAAGAAGGGCATTGAGGCGGTCAATGTTGACCTGGTGCATACCCGGGACGGCCTCTTTCTCGGACCGGGTGATGGTTATCAGCATCCTCTTGGCGTACTGCTGGAGGTCAGGCCACCTTTGAGAGACATCTACAACAAGAGAGCGATTGGTTAAGTAATCAGCATAGGCGGCACCTATATTTTTCCGGCAGCCCCAGGAATCCCATGATTGGGTAGCTTGGGACTTGACTCACATATGCCCAAGCGGCCAGGGGGGATCAAAGGTGAAGGTCGTACCTTGATTTTCAGGTTGAGGGGTCACCCTACCCCAGCCGCATTAGAGCCGGTTGCCGCAACAGAAGGTTGGCTTGAGGGCGTCTCAGGCTCGCCCGTCTCAGAAACCGTCGCCTTGGTGTTAAGACCGAGGCTCTTCAGGCCTTTGCCTGCTGAGGTTGGCCGTTCAGATACAAGCGGCCTTCTTGAGGTGGTGGGGGCAGGCGAAACCTTCCTTGCCTTGGAAGGAGCCTGGGAGGGTTACTCGGCCCTCCTTTTATCAGTTTGGACAGGGAGCGAGGAACATTCTTGTTCCCAGCCTGAAAAAGGAAACAGAACACAACCGGTTAATAACCGTATTGACATTAAAACTATACAGACGGTAAAAAGGACGCAGCTGGAGCTTACCCTATCGTCCTTGGCCGCCAATTAGGTCTTTTTCTTTTCTAATTAATCCTTTCGGATCTGGGCAGTAGACTTGGCCGGTGTCTTCTCAGGCGGCACCATTTCTAGTCCTTTTTCTACAAAAAGAAAATCAACAAGTCAAATACAACTCAGAATATTAGAGACGACATAAAGTGTCGGTTAATTAGTCAACATACGTCTGCTAAAAAGGTTGCTAAGACCACAGGCGGAGAGGAAAGCCTCGCCCTTTAGCCAGTCTGGATGGGGGACCTAGTTCTTGGGGACAATTATTTCAGTCCCATCATCCAAAGGCATGGATGTTCTTTTGAAGAACCCCGCCTCCATTAATTATGTCCAGGCCTCTTCCAGGACGCAGGGAAGGGCGCACTTCTTCCCAAGGAGAGCCGGATGCTTATTGTATTGTATTATCGGCGGTTCAAACGCAAACATGGAGAGGAAACCAGGTAAAACTTGCTCTTTTAATTGCTCCACTTTGACAGCTTGTCAAGCGTCATCATGTATTCCGGGTGCGTGGTCAGTGTATACCACGCATTCCAGCCGCCTGGGGCACGGCTGAGGTAGTGCATATGTGCAAATGCCTCCCAGCTAGGCGTTATGTCCTGCATCTCACAGGCAGCTATATAACCAATTATGTTCACCCAGGAGTTGGGTGTTCATTGCCAAATGCAAGGTCGTAGCCTCTTAGAAAGGCTTTTATTGCATCGTGGAGGGGAACCGGAGGCTGTCTTTAAATGCCGGCTCATAACAGCCAAAATAATTATCGGCGTGATCGATGTCGTCATCCCAAACGACGTTTGCCTCCGCAGGCGGCACTAAAATCTCCCACCTATCCCCAACCGGGCATTTCTTTATGAAGGCTGGGAAGGTGGCGTTCAAGGTAACAATGTCCCTGGCGGACATATGCGCCTTAGTAGGATTGTTGATGGCTGGCCATTTATACGCCTCCTCATCCTCCTAGAGGGCATTCGCTTGTGATGAAGTTGATTCATCAGAGTCTGATTGTTGGACGGTCTCATCCCCGTCTACGTCCTTTGACTCTTCCAAAATGTTGTCACTGGGTGTACTGGGTGCACCCGGAGGATAATAATATACTATGTCAGCCAGTGCCTCAGCTGAGCCGTTTGATCTGTAGTCTGGGTCAATAGTCGTCCGCTTCGTCCGAGCCATCCTATCCTGCACATGCACAGAGACGGTCGGATTTGTGAAAAGTAAGGGTGGACCAAACACCCCCAAACGGCATCCCCAGTCCTAGACTCAGCCGTATCAGGAGACCAGCTGACAACTGTCCTAGGCCGTGCCGTGTTTGTGTAGGGTGAGTCCATTATTCTTTACAAACTATACAACTGGAAAAGCTCAAAAGAGTTGCAAAGGGTAGAGACGGTACCTTGAAGATGTGTTAGATGTGGAAGAAGTTGACCAGCTGGATCAGTAGGCGGAAATCTATCAAGTTGATTGCTAGGTACCCAGACGGTTGTCGGGGCCCACTTTGAAAGCAAGAGGTTGTTGAATTATCCAGACATTTTCCTGAATCCCTGCTTGATGATACCCCAGACAGTAGACCGGTTGTGGGTGATTGAAAGCAGGAGAATTTGTTGAAGTGTGCTCAGACGGTTCTGATGAGTCTGGAGTGAAGAGTACCCAGACAGTAACCGATTGAGCAAAGAAGAGGCAGACGGTTGTAGAAAAATAGCAGCCGGTCTCAGAGCTCTCTTTTCTCAGAAAATTTTAAAAAGCAAAGTGAGGAAAATGAAGGGGGGGAGGAGCCCTACTTATAGAGAAAATTCCCCAAAAGGCGAACCGTCACCTAAAAAAAAAAAAAGACGAACCGTCGTCTTCTCAAATCGTGACACCTATCACAGGTGCCACGTGGCATGCCATGTCACACCTGTGAAGGACAACTGTTTAGGGTAAAAACACCCAGTCCACGTGGACCAATTGCATGGTGACACGTGTCACCCTGAGAGAGGTTATGAACTTCTTTTTGTTGACACGTGGCAGCCTAGGTCATGATTGGCAGAAACTGGTGTTCTTGGCCCAATCCATCACCAGCCTTTAGGTTTCATAAACCTAAAGCAAGGGGGCTGCTAACCTAACCCAATAAATAGGGAGATCACCTCATTTATGAGGGTATTCATAAATTTATACACAAACTATAGCAATATTAATTACAGATATTCTCTCTCGAAATCCGAGAGAAACTCTTTACTTTCCGCACTTTATTACATCCGAACACGTTCTAAGTTGATCGTCGGATGCGGAACTCCTTCCAACAGGATTAATAATGCGTTTCACCAAAAAAAAATTAATAATTTGATTTATAAACCGTGCATCGCACGGGCACTATGCTACTTTGAGAAATACGACCAAGGAAAATTCAATTCCTGACATTTTCCTATCAAAGATGATTTTATAGCAGTCATTTGAAAAATGACTAACATATTATTTAATAATATATAATATGATCGATTTATTTTTTCACGTTATAAATTGCTACAATTAGCTTATAATGTCTACAATGTAAATATAAATTTTGAAAATTTTAATCCAACATAAAATAAATATTTTTTGAGAAATTATAAAATAAGAATAAAAACTACATAAATGAAACTAAAAAAACTTATAAATAAAAAAAATAATGATGATACTATTTAATACCATTAATAAAGTAATATAATTAATTTTTTTGACAAGAATAAAGTAATATAATTAATTACTTGGAAAAAATATGTCAATTATAAACTATATAACCATTAAAACATTATGCTAGTCATATTTCAAACTACCGTAAAATTTTCTTCCTATCAAACCCACGACCCACCCTCATCGCTGCTCACTCATATCCACGCACGCTCACACTAGCAAAGCCCACTATCGCTGCCTAAAAACCACCTCTGCCACGCACCCCACGACTACCCACCACAACCAATCCACCTCTTTTCCCATCATCGATACTTTTTGAATCACACCCTAATATTCTCAATTGAATTAGGGGTTTTCAATATATATAGCATTCACTTTGGAGCAATTTGAAGAATTGAATTGTGGTTGTGCAATCATGACCCTATACGAGCTTTGCTTGATATCAAATTTGGGGTTTTCAAATTTCGAGGGAGGGTAGAATATTAAATAGCAAATTGGGGCTTTATTATTTTAGCCTTAAATTGATATAAGAAATATGAGGAATGAAGAGGAAGGAGTGTAGAAAATGAAGTTAAAAAATGGGGAAGAAGAACAAAGAAGAAGGATAGAAATTAAAAAGGTGGAATAGTAACGACTAACTATGATTAAATAATAGGAAAAATTGTCAAAAATAAAACAATCTTTGTCCTATTTTTTTTAATATAATACAACCTTTTAATTATTTTTGAATAATACAAACGTTTAGAGGATGTTAATTTTAAACAAGACAAAATTGAATATCCGGTGAATTTTAAGGTTAGGAAAGGGGAGAGGAGAGTTTTTGGTGGTGGGGATGGCGAAGGGGGGAATATCCCTTCCCCTTCTCCCACCTCAAAACCCACCGAATATTCGATTTTATCTTGTTTAAAATTAACACCCCCTAAAGGTTGTATTATTAAAAAATAATCAACTTGTATTATTAAAAAAGAATGAGCCAAAGGCTGTATTATTTTTGACAATTTTTCCAAAATAATATTGGAAAAAAAATAGATTAGCTTTTTTAACTTCATCTAATAATCCGTGTAAGCAATTAACCTGTTTTTGCATGCCATTTTTTATTTAAACGTAATAAAAATTAATATTATTACAAGGTTAACGTGTTAAGAATAATAAAAAAGTTACGTAACAAAAGCGGACGGCCATAAGGTTGACTTAATTTTTACAAATTTTCCTTAATTTAAAGAATTGAAAATAATTTTATTGATAAAAAATTAATTATACTATTAAAATTTATTTTTATTAATTCTCCATAATACTTGTTCGTTAAAGTTATTAATTTCTTACTGATTATAACTTACTTTTACTAAACAACACTTATTCTTGCATAACTTATTAACATATTTTTTTTTTATGATTGAAATATTGTTTGCTGAATTTAACTTTATTATATTGTACTTAAATTAATTAAGATGGTTTCAAAAAAAATATGACTCGCTAAAGATAATAAGTTCAGAAAAAATTTCCACACTTAGCTGAGCAGTGTGGGCTGATAACGAGGGGTGACGCTGCTTCGTCTTTGCTGGTGAGCATTGTCAACACCCAACACAGGCAAACTGAGAGTAGGAGAGCATAACTTGAATAACCCATGCTTATTATA